TCGTTGAGTTGTGTAAGACATTGCAGGTGGAGTTGTTGTGTTTACCTTCTAATGCAACGCACCTATTTCAACCACTTGATGTCGCTGTGTTTGGCCCATACAAAACCTCGATTCGGAAGGAGATTTTTGAAGCCATGGTGAACGATGGTAATTCTAACAATATGCTTTGTCTTTAATGATTTTATAGAGACTGGGGACTTCTAAACGATCTCCAAACCCACTGCACTTCGAATTGCATCAAATGCCTGGAAGAACTGCGTCCTGGCGAAGAATATTATCAGCGGCTTTCAATGCACTGGCCTTTTTCCTGCATCTCTCGTGAAAATGCGGTCTCGATACCGCCTGTTCAAGGATGGAGGCGTCCCGAAGACAACCCTGCTTGCCCCGTGGATCGAACGGCGCGAAGTGATCCGCCGCGAGGTGCTCTGTTTCTTCCTGCCAAGGAAAAGAAAAAGAGAGGCAGCCGGTCAACTGTTGATGTTGCTGGGCGAATTCTTACCCTTGGACTGCTGCATGAAGTCGACACCACACGCAAGGAGCGCCTTGAAGCAACGAAGCAGAAGAAGGCGCTGCAGACCAAGCGCGCAAAGAAGAAGCCACGAAGGGAGGTCAAGTCTTGTGCCTGTGGCGATCATGTCGTGGCCAAGCCGCAATCGACGACGGGCCATGCAGCAACGGAGCTGGAATCAGTAGTTGTCATCTAGTTGTGGCAAGTAACAGTGACCTTGAACTCAATCGTGTGTACCTTGACTTCAGAAGATGTAGTCGATGTGTGCCCTTGTACGGAACTGTCAAATTCAAGAATGGCAATTGAACATGGACTCATGGAAACAAATAACCTGTCAAATATGTAATATAACCTGTTGAAAACACATACCCTAAACACAGATTTTGTATGCATGTTCCCATACTTTAACTAAGATAAAATGTCGGCTCTTAAATTGGCACGCGAAAAAATACTACTTCGGCTTACAAAATGTTGATTTGAACTCCCTTCATGCCCTCAAAATTCAATACGAATGGTCCAGACACCTAGTCCTGCAATTCAGCATCACGAGACAAGTTTCAGAATTGGCTGGTGATTCCTTGATCACCAGATATGCCCCGTTGAACGAACTCAACCCTTCAAAAAGCTTCAGGCGGCTCTTAAATTGGCACTTTACGTTACACAGGATATTCGTTTATACCAGGCTGCAAAAATCGGGGGATGACTGTACGCATTGGCCAATTCCAACTGTCACGTACTACAGTACAGTATTATTATACTACATATTGTTCATTCGATTCGAAATTGGAGTTGGGTGCTCAATCGAATGAGCAGCACCAAATCGGCAGACAATCGATTGACCAATCAAAATACAAAACATGAATCAAATTGCCAATCAAATAATTCAACATCGAATTAGTGTGTGATTGAAATTAGTGTGATACTGGTCGATCTGTACATGCAAAAGTCAATACAAAGAATCGATCGATAGATTTGGCGAATCAGCAGAAAAGTCCAAATATTGGGTAAAAGGAGAATAGTACTACGGTACTTACTCGGAGGGAGTACCTCCTACTACGGTATAAGTGCAATGCCATTACTACTAAAGCTCAGAATGGGGTAGAGCCAATCAAACCGTCGTATTTTTCATTGTACCTAATTCGCAAACTGTTTCCGTGCCGAGAATCATCCGGTTACTAACCGGATGACTAGTCGACACCACTTCAGTCCAAGGTGTCTCTTCGCAGACCAACATGCCTCACGCGCGCTTTAGAGTCAGAATCACCATCGACTTCTCGCCTGAAGTCGATCAAGCTGGATGTTGCTAAATTCGGCGGAGCGGAGTTTGACAAACTCCTCCGCTGGATTTTACAAGTCAGCACTGCTGCTGACGCTCAACGTATCTCCAACGACGCCACCCGCGTGGCTTTCTGCGATGTCGCACTTGAAGGTCATGCGGCAGATTGGGCGTTCTCGAAACGCTTGACGGACCGCCACTGCTACCGTCCTTCGTGACCGAACATAAGACAATGTTCTTGCCATCCAACAGCAACTTTCGTTATCGCTCGCAGTATCTCGCATGCAAGCAAGTGAAACGCTCCCTTCAAGAGTTCATCCATGATCTTCGCTTCTTGGCAGCGAACATTAACGATGAGGAATCGCTCCCAGAGCCCCTACGATTTCATGGACGGTCTCAACCAAGGCCCGGCGCGTACTTAGCTGTTTCGCGCCTACCCGGACACCTTCGAAGAAGCTGTTCGGAAACGTAATAATTGTACATTGGTCAGCTTGAAATTTACAGACAATATATTCGATCGTTGTAACACAACTAGATGTACAATTGCATCGGAACGTTCGTCAGTGGACATTCGGAACATGCATCCATCGTCACGTCAGGTCCATGTTCTGTACTTCCCATTGCCCTAACTGCGTACTTCGAACCCAGTCGTCAAGGCCAGTGTTTTCACGCATTCTTTAAGTCGTTGCCAGTTGTCGAAGAAACATCGCGTGTAACTTGGTCGCACCAAGTTATGGTGGTAATCAGACAAGCAAGGAACCATTTGCCCCGATGCGCTCTGCTCAACCTCCATCCGCCCAACCTCCCTCTGTTCAATCTCCCTATGCCCAATCCCCCTCAGCTCAATCTCCCTATGCCCAATCCCCCTCAGCTCAATCCCCCTCTGCCCAATCTCCCTCTGCTTGTACTAAACCAAGGTCCACGCAACTTTCGGAGCACATTAACAGCGTTGAGAGCATACGTGCAGTCCGAAAACGGCTTATGTGAGAACAGCAAGCTGTTAGAAGCAAGAAGCAGAGCGAGCAGCGCGCTGTTACTGTACCTGGGCTGCAGACAGGAACGAATTCGGGTTGAGCCAAAGCAACGATATGAGGTTTGAATATACTACCGGTAGTATCGGGACCAAGAACATTGCAGTACCGGTACTAGGTACTGTACAATGGTGTCAAGAAGGGGCACTTTGGCCGTTCCTGCTTTGGCCTTTTTCGCCGAGGGTCGGTCACTTACGGATAATATCCGGTCATCCGGAATTATCCGGTGTTCTTTTTCTGTAGAAGCCGGACTGTTTATGCCCAATCATAGGTCAGCTAAACAGTCCGTTAATGATCATCTTTGGTTTTGCCTTCGACCGCACAAGTGTTCTTAGTCGTCGTTCCTCCCCAGTGCTACACCTTTATCGTCCCTCTTGACAGGTTATAACCTCCTCCCTTCCTCTGTGCAGCCCTTCGTGGGCACCCCACTCGACGACCTACGGTCTCTGGCCTACACGCTCTGGAAAACGGACTTCTTGTCCCAAGCCCGTCCCGCGACCTTGCTGAGTTCTACTCTACAAAGGACTATGTCCCTCAAGGCAACCGCATTGATACGCTCAACAACAGCAAGATGTACCTCGAGCTCGATCAAGTCGAGTACTCTGAGCTCTATGTTGTCCACCCGAATCTGTCGGAGACCGATCGTGATGCGCGGCTCGCGGAAATCAAGGCGCACACCACCGCCATCCAACGCGAGGTCATTGCCCGTGAGGCGACTAAGAAACTGGCGAATCAACGCTCTGCTGCGCACACCTTCTTGGTCTCAGCCATTTCTACCAACCTCCGGCGCCTCTATCGGGCCACTACGTGTTCGTTCGAGCTCTTTGAGCACATCAAGACTCGTTTCGAGTCGAATCCCATGGACAACAACCCCACGGTCATTGCTAGCTATCTGCGCACTCTCGAGTTCACCGATGAGAGTTGCATTGACACTCTCTTCGTGGAGCTGATTGACCTTATCAAGCGCTACCGTGTGTCTATGACGCCGCCGTCTTGACGTTGCTGACGTTTGGGCCTCTCTTCGGCGTATTATTACCAATTGTCTCCTACGAGCGTCTGCTCTTGGTGACAACGGCTCTGCCGCTACTCTCCAAACGCGAACACAGCTTGCAGCTGTCACGCATGCCGTTGCGGCCCCTGCGCCACCACGTCAAGCTATTACGCAAGCCGATGGCTCAGTTCATGTTATGAACGCTTTCACTATCCCGAGCTATGCTCACCGTGATTGTATCAATCACCCCGGCAAGTCCTGCTTCTACTGCGGCGTTACCAATCACACGCTTCCTGCGTGCCCCACCCTAAAGTTGGACTATGCCCGTAACACCATGCGTCCTGGTTTTGACCGCGCCGTCTTTGACAAACATGGCTCTGCCTCCCAAAAGAAGCGCAAACGCGATTATGTCGCTCCGTCTCGTCCTATCCAACGTCCTCGTGATGATCGCGATGGCCCTAGTGGCAACCAGGGCTCTAATAGCCACCATGGATGGAGACCAAGTTCCTTTAGTGGTCCTGGAAATGGCGGGTGGAACAACAATCGTGGTAACAGCCGTGACAAAAATCGCGACCGCGATCGTAGCCGTGGTCGACAACGCGACCAAGGCTACGGCCGCACTCATCGTGGGGGCCTTTATGACCAGGCTGGCACTGCTGCTCGTGCAGCCGCTTGTCCATTTATCCATCAAGGCAATCGCCTCAATGGCTTTGCCAACACCCACATCTTATCCCACCATTTTGTGCCTCCCTCCACTCTCAACCGGGTCCTCCAACCCCCCAACCCACCATCGGTTTTGCCAAAGGCGTTCCAACCGGGCTCTGCCCCACTTTGTGATGTTTTTGCATCTCTGCCCCATGAACCTCCGCTTATTGCGGCTACTACCCTCGCTCCCATCACTGTCGCACCAGGCGAGCTCCCCGACCACTTCCCATCTCCTGTGGATGCCGGCGATTTAGACTTCGCTGAAGTCCCTTCTGCCGAGGTACTTAATACCGAGCGTTTGCCCCTCTACCCACCACGACCATTGTTCCAAATTCCCACGAACCCAACCAAAGTGGATCTTCCACTGTTCCCACCCAATGCCTTCTCGGCCACACGCAGCGACATTATTACCGCGGCGTCGGAAACACCGATCAAGGTGGTTCTCCAATTGCCCCCAAGACGTGTGAACGGTGTCCGTCCCCATCCCCCATTCCAAGTTTTTGGTGGACAAGGCATTTTTGCCCTTCATGCGGACCTACGCTACTGTGAAAGCGACCCTGGTGATCCGCCCCTACCCATGTCAGTGACTTATCGTCCAAAAGACTTTCCCGCTCTGCGCGAACATTGGATTGTTGACTCCGGCGCCTCTGCCTCTTGCACCCCCAACCGAGATTATTTCTCCAATTATGTTCCTTGCGCACTGTCTCTTACAGTCGGGAACGGCGCTCAACTCCCAGTCCTTGGCTATGGCCCTCTTTCTTTGGCCGTGGACATGTCGTCCTGCGACCAAGCCGACGATATTCGTCCGATATTCGTCCGTGCGCTCTGCGTCTTACCTTTGGCCTACATTGCCCTGAACTACAGTTCAACTTGTTCTCGGTTCGCCAAGCGACCGATGAAGGCATCTCCGTCCGTTTAACGGCTCGCGACATGTGCGAAATTACCACCTCTCTTGGTGATGTGCTTCGTGCACCTAACAACGCCATGGGTCTATACTCCTTTCCCTGTCAGCCCAAGTGCGAGCCCTATACCGATCCGCACCTTGGCGATTATATCCCTCCGGGCCAAATGGCTATGCTTACTGGCATGATGGCCACCTTTGAGACCGCTCTGCGGAAATTCTCCTCAACCTTAACGATCAATTGCACATGTTTGCATATTCGTCTGTGCTGCGCTATGCGCCAATCACTCAACGACAGTCTATGGTCTCCAAGCCAACATCGTTCTACCCAATTACTCCAGACTCTGTCTCGATGAGTGTAGCCCAGGCTATGCTTGGTTCACACACACTTCCACACCTGTCTATGAAACCACTACTGTTCCAACCGACTGCCTAAACAGCCTCGTGGCTGACTTCAAGCTCTCTGCAGCTAACCTTGCGCGCCTATGGCACCGCCGTCTCGGCCATCCAGGCGTTGATGCCTTCAACAAAATAACAAAGACAAACCCCGAGCTTATGCTCTTAAGGCCAAGCACCTTCGTGGTCAACTATGTGAAGCTTGTGCTTATGCCAAGTCCAAGCGCAGTCCTTTTGACTCATCTGCGGTCTTCCGCGCGACCTCCTACCTAGTCCTTGTACACTCTGATGTTTGGGGCCCAAGCCCGATTTTGTCGGCGGGTGGCGCTGCCTACTTTGTCGTTTTTATCGACGATTACTCCCGCTTATGTGGACCTACCCCATGCGTTTTCGCAAAGATCTCTATGGGACCTACGAATTATTTCGTACGGACGCCATGTCCATTTTTAAACATGATGTATGTGAGCTGCGCCACTCATCACCCATGGACATCGGCACCCTTCAAAGCGACAACGCGAAAGAGTACGAGAAACTCGGGCGGATCATCAAGCCCAATTACAACACTCGGGTGGCATTCTCCAACGCCTACTCCCCCCAACAAAACGCTGTTGCCGAACGCCGTATCGGCATTGTTGTCCAAAAGATGCGAGCTATGCTCATTGAAGGGGCTCTGCCCAAGTTCCTATGGGCTCTTGCCCTTGATTATGCCTCATGGCTCATCAACATCTCTCCACGGCATCCAACAAAGGTCTTTCACCCTACCACGTCGTCTTTAAACGACACCCATCTTTGGGTCACATCAAAACCTTTGGTTGCACCGCGTTTGTGCACATTCAACGTGCCGCGCAATCCTCCAAGCTCGATCCCCGTGCCGTCAAGGCCATGTTTGTGGGTCTCCCACATGATCGAAAGGGTTATACCCTCATGCATTTACACTCCAATTTATTGATTTATTCTCATGACGTCACCTTCTGGGAGTCCGAATTCCCAGCCATCAACTCTGTTGCTGCTGCTGCAGCGTATCGCCATAAATCCGCCACCGACCCCAACTTTATTCCTACCTTGGAACCCAACGCACCATTGTCACCACTACACTCCATCATTACCAACAGGCCTAGTGCCTTCCTCTATGACAAGCTTTTGGCTTCGTCGCCACCCGTTCTTTCTACAGAACCCCCGTCGTCTCGACCCATTACAGCACTTTCTGTGCACTACCCAAACGAATTCGAGATGTCTTTTCGGTATTTTCGTTGACCAGTCCGGTCTTTGACCCAACTGCTACTACGACGATCCTATGGTCGTACGACGATCCTATGGTCGCAACCAGTCTGCCTTCTCGGCCCATCCATCAACAGCCTTGTCGGCTAAGCCATCAATGGCCAAAACAACACTTAACTATATTAGCCATTATTCAAGTTGCCTCCTCATGGACACAACTCCTTTGGAGTCTCTTGACACCTACCACAACCACATGCACCATGCACTCGTGCTTGCGCCATCCTTACCACCTTCGAGTTCTGCTCCTACTTTGGCTCCTATGGAACCATTGTTTGTCTATGCTTTGCTTGCCGACCGTGCCAACAACAACGACCCCAAAGACTGGCGTGATGCCATGTCCCGCCCCAGGCTCCGAGTCTTCGAGCGTCGTCTCGGCGATGCGCTTTGCCCGGTTGACCAGGTGAGAGTCAATGTTCTCGTCGAATATTGTCTTGTCCGACACGCTGCTCTTGTAGAACTTGGTGCTGTCGATCGCGAAGCCATTTCGTACCACGGATACTTCGACCTTGTGTCCATTCAGGGAGTGTTTGCCGCGTAGTATATCTTCTTGTCTGCATACGCGCCGGCCGGTACATGCGTTTGCTGAAACGTGACGTCCGTGGCGTACCGAACAGCCAGAAAGTTCTTGAACCGATGCCCCGACTCCGCGAGCGCCTGCATTGGCCACTTCTGCTCGACAGCCGTGACGAACGGTCGCATGAGGTATGGGTGGAGAACGATCAGGAAGGGCATGACTCGCTTCTCGAAGGTCGTCGGCTTTTGCTTGAATACAGCCGCGACGACGTCTTAAGTACCGCAGTGCTTTAACAACGTAAACAGCATCAAGAGCAGGTCGCGAGAAGATACCGCCACCTTTCTTCCAGAGCCGACATTTCAATGGCGGAAGACGTACTGGCGCACCTCTGTCCAAATGAGGTTGAACTCAGACGGCGAGAAGTTTGTCATTGTCACAATCCCTTCAACTCCTTGGGAAGCGAGAAAGGACTCGTAGATGGGTGAGTTCGAGTCCAAGCCGTCGGGCTCGTCGGGCTCGTCAGCAAGAACGGTAGAGTAGCGGGATCGTTTAGCGTAGCGCTGTTGGTCGAGGTTTTCCAACAAGACTACACCTTGACTAATGACTCTCGTTGTAAGTGGGGTCGACGAAGGAGTCGGCTGGGATGCTTGCAAGCTGGAGCGACGGGACATGAGGGGCAAAATGTGGGTGTTTTCGAGGTGTAACCAGTGTTTTTGGAAATGAGTTAGTGTTTCGTGGGAACTACCATAAGGTCACGAGAGATCTCCATCAAACGAATTGATTCACTCGCCTATTGGCTAGTTGTTGTATGACGTGAACCACTAATTATAAGCACAATGCGATTGACCAACCAGAGATTAGCCTTACTCGGAATACATATGATAATTTTAATAATATTGCTGATGACTTGGTATACTGAATAGCGGTCCTCGTCTTCGTATGCAGCGCTTGTTATCCGGATTCCCCAGGAGGGACGGATAAATCCATGCGGAAATAATGCGGGGAAACGTAGGGCAACCCCAACGGTGCGACGGTATCTACCGGAAACGGCATATTTTTACCGCGAGACGGCAAATTGGCCATTTTTACCGTTTTGTGAACACAGACGGCAAAATACCGGAGCCAATCATAAACCAAAATGCATCATGTTTCCACCAATAAAACGCATGTATTTGAGCACGATCATTTCCATACAAGTAATGACACTTTCTCTCAACGGGCGGGGTGCGAACTTCACCACTGACGAGGACTGCCAGCTTGTTTGTTCGTGGTTGAACATATCCCAAGATGGGTCTAAGGAGAACGAGCAAAAGGCCGAGCAGTTTTGATCCCGCGTGGGGGCGAACTATTGCACCTCTTGCGAGCAGACTGCCATCGCACAGCACGATCCTTAGCTACCCAGTGGAGCAACATACTGAAATAATGCAACAAGTTTGTTGGGTGTTCAGCACGGTCTCGTTTAACGTACGCTCTTGACCCCGGTGTTTGGCGTGGTCCGTTACTCGAGCTTAGGATCTCCCAAGCGTCGTCCATACCCTCGTCGTCGTCATTCCATGCCTCGATGGCATTGCACAACAAAGCCTCCATATCCGGAAGTGACAGTTATGCGGATTTTATACCGTTTTACCGTTGGGGTTGCGCAAAAGTAAATTACAGTGACGGTAAACGTCAAAATACAGTCTGATTATACCGTCGCATCATTGGGGATGCCCTTAACCCCCTTAAGTAAGAGGTGAGGTGGTCTGAGCTTACAAAGTTCCATATAACCTCATTGAAACAGTATTTCGGGTCAAAACAACAGTGGAAGTATTTTACAATGACATGAATTGGTTTGTCAACCAGGAGTCCATCAGCTCCTGATACTCTTGTATGTATATGTGCGTCTATATATGGGTATAAGATGGATTTAGTCAGTAAAGAGCGTATTTCCTGAGTCTGCTTCTCCTGACGAATTATTGGAGAAACTGGTTTTGACACTTACTGATGGTCTTAACGTTAGATCAAAGCATCACCCACCTCTATCTGCCAGAACCGACTTCGAACGAGTAACTTGTACTCATCGTTGTAGCCCAAAAAGAGGACATTACACGCACAGCTGGCACTTGGCGCCAGCGTCTTGCAGAACGACAGCTGATTGATCACGGACACAAACGCGGCCAAAAGATGTAAAACTGCTCCACCCCCAGGGACCACGGGTGCAGCGGATTCTCCTTGACACTGGCATCAAAGTAGCCCTGTTGGACGGTCAGGAGCTGGATGTTGGCCCCAAAGAGCGTCCTGGCCACGAGGGTGAAGGACTGGACCGCCTTGTCCAGCAGCCACACGCAGCCCATCACCAGCGTGAACGTGAGCACGAGCAGCAGCGCTGGGAAGATGCGGTGCGAGTAAAAGTAGGCGTACGTAAACGAGCTTCTGGCGTTTACCTTGAAGAGGATGACCGAGATAAGGTAGCCAGAGAGGATGAAGAACACGTCGACGCCTGTAAACCCGCCTTCGATCGAGTGCCGGTACGCGTGGAACAGGACCACGGAAACCACCGCGAGCGTCCGTAGCCTGTCGATGTCGGGCCGGTACTTGATCGGGTGCTGGGGTTCGGCTAGCAAACTCGGTCGTGACTGCTCCGTTGGAGGTGTCGTCGGTAGTCGGCTTAGAGCATCCCCACCGGTGCGACTGTAAACGCTATTTTACAGTTCTATCCGGGCAATTTACAGTTTTGACAATCCCACAGGGCGACTGTGACTGGTGCCCGAACAGGGCTTATGTATCAATCCGAACCTTACAAACCCGATATCGTCGAGTAGTTGAAATTATCTCAAGTTCATGACCAAACAGCTAACTACCGGTACCGGTAGGCGAATCCGAGGGTGATCTCACATATACATTATTAGTTTTTGTGTGCGCCGCGCATGAAAGCAACACACTTCAACCAAGACATCGTTTTCTTAGTTTTTCCTTACAAATGCACAACGCTACATATTTTCGTATCGATCAACCCTATTCCCACAACAAGCACTTCTTGGACGGGTTCAAGTACGAGTCGGTGGGGCACTGGAACACACGGGCAAACTCAGCGTTGTTTTGCAACGCCCCTGTCACGCGGTACCGGCCGCGCGGGTGCTCCCACGACAAAGATGCGCGGAGGTAGGCATCCGTGTTCTTGGAGCACG